ATCAGATATGTCCAAACTCCTGTGTGAAATTATCCTCATTCTTCTCTATCACATCACAATCCCAGGGCAAATTGCCATACAAATGTAAGATGAAGAGACCTAGCCATATACATTAATCTTCTCAATTTTGGAAGATCTCTGATCTGTAGTTGTAGAGATATCTGAGGAGCACCCTCTGTGAAAACCCTGTTCATCTTTGATGTTTCAAAACATCAACACCAAGTCTCACTCTCATATCATCCTTTCTAATCTGGCCCATTCTCAGCAGAAAAATACAAAAAGATATCTTGATAATAATATCAAGCACATAATTAACAGTCACTTCTGAAGTGTCATCTCTGCAGTCTGTCTTCAGTGTATCTAGACATCAATGCCAAGTCTTATCCTCATATCATCTCTCTCAATCTGGCTCATCCCCAGCAGAAAAGTACAAAAAGATATCTCAGTAACTGTATTTAATACATGATCAGTAGATACAATAACTATAAAATCAGTATATTTCAAGATCTGACTGAGCCTTTGATTCCTGCACAGTGAGATATATTAAATCTAGTTTTAATATCTCAACATTCAATAGATTCTGTAAGAGATTGAGAACAGCAATACTAGATTTCTATTGAATTTGAGAATTAACTCTATATTAATATAATCATTGACAAAGTCTTCTATTTTGAGATATAAAACCCAGTTCCTCTACATCTCACTGACAATATTTATATTATTATATAGAAACAGACTTATATTCTCTATAATAGTAAGACTCTGAAGAGAGAAAGTCTTGATAGAGAGTATACAGTAGTGTATATCTTAGCAGTTTCTATCTCATTCTTCTGCAGCAGTTAATGCAAAAAAAAAAAGATCTTAGAAATAGTTTTTTACTTCTCTTGAAAAAGTAAGATGTGTTTCTCTAAGTTTTATATAATATTCTTACAAAGAATTAAAAACAGAGTTATTTTCTGTTATAATTTCATATTCTTTTAAGTAAGAATTACTTTTTCAGTAACTGAAGAGCTTTCATTAATACTTAATTCTTTTTTACACTCTTTATTAACTGATTTGAGTTGTATACTTATTATGTGAGAAGAATTGAATACTTTAGAATAAAATTGAATAGTTTTAATTAATTTCTCTACAAAAAATTGATTTATTTTTTGTCAGTTTTTCTCTTAAAAACTGTCATATTATCTGATTTATTATTAATTAATATCATACTTTTTCTCACTGTATCTCAAGAAAGAGATTGTAAAGATTTTATTGATTTATCTTAAAAATCAATTTTAGTTTATTAGATTCTCTTCAAAAATCTAACCTAGTTACTGCACTAGTGTGAAAAAAATCAGGTGTTTTATATATAAAAGTCTTTTATTCTTCTTTTGAAACAGTCTAACCAACTTTTCAATTAAAAACAGACTTAGAAATCTCTTAATTGAAACAGTCTGATCAACTTTTTAAAAGAGTTCAATACATATCTCAATTGAAACAGTCTGATCAACTTTTCATTAAGTGAGAATAATGAGTTTAAAAATACACTCAGTTGATGTGAAAAAAGATGCTTTCTCAAATACTATTTCTGAGATTAAAATTCTGAAGAGAAGAAAGAAAGAAGTAATAGAGAAATAACAAGTTCTTGAAATACAGAAATTTGAAAAAGTAAGCAAGATTCTTGAAAAGCAGTGTCTGAGTGAGATAAATGAAGAAGTTCTGTTAATTCTTCATACTCAGACTAGACAACTACAGAAGATGATTAAGTTTAAACTTGAAATTTCAAACACAGTTCAAAAAATATTGAAAATTCCTAGTATAATCACTGACTTCTTATCTTGCTTTTCTTTCTTCTTTTCTACTTCTTCTTCTTCTTTGAATCAGAAGAAAATATATACTCGAGCAGCTGAATCTACTATCTCTAAATCTGCTATCTCAAAA